TGGAAAATATCGCGCCACCGATTACATCGACGAGGATCTTGGTGTTAAATACGCCGAGGACGTAAAGCAAATCTGCAAAGACATCAAGGCTCAAGGACGTGGAGTTTGCGCTTACATCGCGGAAAGTCTCATGTCAGTCGGTGGACAAATTCTGCCGCCACCGAATTATTACCAGAATGTATACAGGTATATAGGAGACTATTTTATTATTTACACGTAGACACGCGTTAAGGCGACCTTAATACTAGAATAACTACATGACTCAGTAAACACTAATAGTATACTATAATATATACGCGTATATAGATTTGCATACATTCTGCAATATTTAATTTTTTATACTTTTGTAGCTAAATACTGTATTTTTTAAACAAAGCTAAGTTTTTAAATCTATTTTTGTAGGGAGTCTCATTACTTCCTCTATTCCTCTTTGATCCATTATGTGGTGTCGTCACATTTTTATAATGCCTTTTGTAATAAATATTTCGTAATTCCAAATCTAGAATTGATTGAGAAATATTTTGACAAATGTAATCGCTAAATTTTCCATTCAAATATTAATTGTTAACAAAGTTATTGTATAAGATATAAATAGGGGTCCTAAATAATACCACCTTTTGCTCTGTTAAGATTACATTCATATTATTAAATGTACAATTATAACATTGTGTTACTACTAATTGTTGTTTTCTGGAAAATGACGATTTAGGAAAAAGAACATAATGAAATAAATTGGAATAAATCTTATATAGGCACGTACGCGAAGCAGGAGGAATCTGTATTGCGGATGAAGTTCAAGTCGGTTTTGGAAGAGTCGGCACTCACATGTGGGCCTTTCAATTGTATGGCGAAGACGTTGTCCCGGACATAGTTACGCTGGGCAAGCCCATGGGCAACGGTCATCCTATTGCGGCCGTCGTTACGACGCCAGAAATCGCGCGTAGTTTTTGCGATACGGGCATCGAATACTTCAATACGGTTAGTTTGGAAAGACGTTATTAGCATTAGTGCTTTAAAATTGTTGTAAAAATATTTCTCTGTGACTGAAAATATTCTATGTAATTTTAGTATGGAGGCAATCCCGTATCCTGCGCAGTGGCGAATGCGGTAATGGAAGTCATAGAACGTGAAGGTCTTCAGGAGAATGCTTTGGAGGTCGGCAATCATCTGATCGCAGAATTGAAGAAATTGGCGAAGCGACGGAAGATTATAGGTGATGTGCGCGGCGCTGGGCTGTTCGTGGGCATCGAATTAGTACGCGACAGAATTAAAAGGATACCAGCGACGGCAGAGGCAAAGCATGTGGTATCCAGGATGAAAGAGAAGAAGATTCTCATCAGCAGTGATGGACCTGATAATAACGTTCTGAAACTGAAGCCACCAATGGTCTTCACACTCGAGAATGCCAATCATTTCGTATCCGTTCTCGATGAAGTACTCGAAGAAGTCGATGTCGACTTTGATGAGGTGATTTGCATTTCGCATTTACTTAGATATGCCGCCAATTATAATCTTCGTCAAAATAAAATATCAATGAAATACTATTTATTTTAATAGTTAAAAAAATTGATCTAATGGAATGGAATGGAAAAAAATTATTTCATTTTAGATCAATATATTCTTTTATCATTAAATTTTATTATTAAATTTATATACTTGAAAACTTTAAATAATAATATAATTAATATATTCATAATTGTTTCAGGAATTGGAAACCACTACAACTATTATCAAAGCAACGATCTCGTCTTTAGGAGTCGATAGAAATACCGCGATGAATAGTAATGGAAATTCATTATTTGTTCGCGCTAATTAATAACATAATGTACAAATATTGCAAATGTTGAATTTAAGACAGTTTTTTTATATAAAAAAAGTATTATTATTTTTAAGATTAATATTACTTCTCATTATGATATATTTTTATATAACTTTATCAGAACTATACGTAAACAAAAGTTAATATTATTTTAGTAAAATAAGGCAATAATATTAAGATATTATAAAATATATTCAACAATACATTTTTACATAAATGACATTGTTTATTGATTACAACCTTTCGCTAGCAAAATAATTTATTTTGATATAAAATTACATACATATATAATTTTATAATATATGTCAGTACAAGTTACTCCTTAAATATTTGGAAATATTAAAGCTTTTCTAAACAGTCATGTTTTACTTTCTCTCTGTATTTCTATATTTTTTAAAATTCTATTACCAAAATAATGAATTCTTTAATTAAATAAATTTATAATCCCTTATTCAACTTTTTCATATTTAAATTTATATTACTCGATCCTTTACTTCAAAAGTAATACAACTCAAAAAATTAAATTTTTTAATAAAGGGAAACCATTTTTTAACTTAAAAATTAATGATTAATCAAATAATATCGGCAAAAAATAATATTTTTAACACGATCAAATGTAACTTTTTTATTTTCGTTTTACAACTCTTAAGATATTATTTTTTTTAGTTGTGATGATTTTGATGATTTTTTAAACTCTCTTTAGCCCGGTATGACTTTGAAATCACATACTAATCTGTTGATATTTCGTTGATTTAATCAAATGAGAGAGAAATAAATATTCGACTATGATTAACCAATTCTTACAGACTACGGCATAAATTGGCATAAACTCAGTAACAAGCAAATGAATGAGTGAACGTGCGAGAAGATATGTGGAAAGTAAGATAAGAATATAAGTTTGCAGAATATAAAAGTTTATATTTTTTTTAAATAGAAATATTTCCGATAAGATAAATTAAGTTAATAAATGTAAATCAAAGTAGAGAATGATGTAAACAGATCGATATAATAATTTGTAACATTTTTGTAAAGAGTGTTTTGAAAGTGAAAGTCAATCGCTCGCGTAATTGACCTTCATTTTTAAAACACCCTGGTGATTAGAGATTATCAATAATTTCATCATCAATAGTTTCAGAGAAAATGGATTAGATTGGTTAAAATGAGACATCCTGTATATCTTATAATTATAAGTGCAGCAATATATGCATAAGTTTAATTTTTAGAAATACATATACGATGACGACAACGACGACGTATCTTACATTAAAAGTTTTAGATTCAGATTTTGCGTCGCAATATCTCCGCTCGACGCATGTAGAGAAAAAATAAAAGTACGTACTATACAATCGGAGTGTATGCTATCAATTAAGCGTACATAGAACATAATCGGTTCTGCTCTTATTGAGATATGATAATCTCGATCCCCCGCAATTCGCCGGCTCGCGTAAAGAAGTCGCGGCAGTGTCTCGCGTTAGACGCTAGGCTTTGTCTTAGCGCCGAGACATTACCGTGTCTCCTGATATTTTTATATATATTTTTATAGGTTGCGAAATATTGCTACCATATATCTCTTTATTGAAAGAGTAAAATATCAGGTGGTAAAGAAGTTTTACTCCTTATAAGAAACGAAGTTAGAAACCAATTGCCGATTTATTCTTTATATATATTTTTTAAACAATTTATATATTTATTACCGCGCGCGCGACTAGGCAATAATTTTTTTTCCTAATACAAGAAAATCCTATTTTAATTTCTATAAAGTTTGTAAAACATTAAAAAATTTTAAAATAAGAGAAATATGTATTCTTTTTTAATATTTTACTTAAATATTTTCTTAAATATTTTAGTACATAAGTTGTACTTAAAGGCTGAAAGTACATAAAAATTGAAAGAAAGTCTAGCATATATTTTTTATTAATTACAAATACATAATTTATTATAATCTGGAAAAAATAATTTTTTAAATATATACTTGTATGCGCGCGCACACGCGCGCGTATGTGTGTGTGAAAGAAAATGTTACTTAGAAATTTTCTAATCGCGTAATCATCGTTAGTAAATATCTCCTGCATTAACACCGATATCTCGCGACCTGGATCAAAGTTTGACTTTTAACTTTCGTTTGGCATTGGAAAATGTATGCAAGTTCACATTACATCCGCTAATATCTCCTGTTGCTCATCTTTCAAGAACGTTTTCATTCATGATAAGATACAAATAAGAAAAAAAATGAAATAGCATTTAATGACATAGAATCGTTTTCGTAATCATTATACTAACAATCTTCAAATATCAAACAAAAATTCAACACGTGCAAAAAATTATCAATGATCTTTCAGGAATCAATACCTTCTGTGATTCTACTTATCCGACAAAACGACGAATATATTAAGTAAAACTTATCTAATTAACAAGAATTTTTTTATTAAATTTTATAATTAGAATTAGATATAGATTGATGAATAATGTATAACACATATCTATAATAAATATAAATACATATAAATAAATATTAGATATATTAATAATAGATATAAAACATAAATATAAACATATATTTATAATATATATTTATATTTTATATATATTAATAAATATATAAATATGTATATATATGTATATATATATATATATAATACAGGATACAAATAATTTCTGCAAAAATTTCAAAAAGTTTAAATATGTATAATTTAAAATGCATACATATACATATATATATATCTTCTGTTCCGTAGCGAATAGACAATTGTACTTTGCGTAAGTTGTAAAAAATTTTGCGCAAATAGTAACATTATTTGTTTTATTAACTCCTAATTACGTCAAACACATTTTAATAAATTTCAGTATGGTAACTAGAAAACAACTGATTAATAGATAGTAATGTGTTTTCATCAACTGACAAAGTTAATAATATCTTCAAACGAAGTCAAAGTTCTGTCCGGAAGTCCGATGGCACGACCCGTCTTTACTTTCTTATATATGCTACGGATGTTATAAGTAATCTATCGTGTGAAAGGTTAAAAAAATTTGTCACGCGTTCATAAACGGTATAGTTTCAAGTTCGTACGGATACTGAATCTCTGTGGCTATCAGCAGGTCAAGCTGAGTTGGCATACTCCTGTATATAAATTAAATCAAGAAGAAGGAGCTTCCATTTCACATTTGATACCTGGCAACCACATAACACCATGTGGTTCCTTGCCATTCTTCTACTAGGTAAGAAAGACAATAACTTTATGTGGATGGTAATAACATTTCAAATGGAATATCTCATGCTTTCATGAAATTTTCGAAAAAAATTTTTTCGAGTTGGTATAAAATTAATTAATTTTTCTATTGATATAAAATCATTGTAGCAAAATCTGACTTCCATGTGTGTTTTGCATAAACTTATTGTTTTAACTAATTTATGTATTAAAGCAAATCCAACTTTTTGAGACAATAAGAATATCATCTTAATCCGACAAGAAAATACAAATTTCAATTATTACAATTTGGTAATTTCTCTTTGGTAGCCGGCGTGGCCATAGTCACAGGCGCTCCTGGCCACGGGCATGCCTGGGAAACAGGACACGAGTACGAGTACCTTGTACAAAGTCGGACAGTGACAGGCCTTGACAAGTTAAAAGAACAATACACTGGACTTCAAATAAAGGCTAAACTCATCGTTCAAGTAACATCGTCACAGACATTACAAGTGAAGCTGTCCAATACACAGTATGCTCGTCTACACACCACATTAGTGGACGGCCCGAGTACCGAACTCCCTGACCAGATGCTGGAGTATCAGCAGATTCCCAAATTGTTAGGAAAGCCATTTGAGGTCACAACGAAGCACGGAATGATTCGGGATTTATTAGTCGAACGTGATACTTCTATTTGTGAAATAAATCTCCTCAAGAGTGTTATGAGCCAGCTGCAGATTGACACGCAGGGCGAAAACGCGGTAAAAATAAAGAGCGCTCAAATTCCGATCGATGAAAATTCTACCCTTATATTTAGAGCTATGGAAGATTCTGTCTGTGGCAGGTGCGAGGTACTATATGAGATCATACCGTTGCCTCAAGATGCTTATCAAGAGATGCCGGACAAGATACCTCTTCCAAACTTACGCGGTGACGGCTATTATTACGACGTTAGGAAAATGAAAAATTACGAGAAATGCCACCATCGACAAATTTATCGTTACGGTCTAGAAGATCCATTGCTCCGTGAACGGGGAAAACTCTATAAACAGGATAAAATCATTTCGGTGAGTTAATTGATAAACTGTTTCATATTTTTTTTTTCTATACTTATAGCTAAAAAATGTACAATAATTACAATTGTTGAAAATTATGAAAAAGAGTATTTTTTAGGAAAACTATTTTATTTGAAATATTAGTATTTTTTTTATAGCAAATTATTCAAATTACTGCATCAATAGAATCAAACTGCCCAATTAATAGAAAAGAAAATGATAAAATTTCTTAACGAAACTTATTTGCGGTTATGTAATTATTACAGGAATTATCTACGACTCAAATGGTTCTCTCGGGCAATCTGAAAGAATTCGCTATTCAATCTGTCGTGACGAAGCATCAGATATCCGTTAAGCCCGGAAAAACTGATCCTTTCCTTGGCAACGTCCATGGCATGTTGAAATTAATTTTATTGAGAAAGGATAAAATATCCAGTCCAATGCTTGATCCACAAGAATCAACCAACCTCGTATCAACTGGAAACCTAATTTATAATACGTATAATACTCCAATGTTACCAAGCGTCAGTATAAATTCCGAGCAAATACAATCATCAGAGAAAACCAGTTCTTCTGAAAAAAATTGGGACGACCCGAACAGCTCCTCTAGTAGCTCCAGCAGTGAGGATCACACTTTATATACGAGTAATATTTTATCTAAAAGAATGGCAGTGCACATGGCTCTGAAAAATCCGCTATTACCCATAACCGTCACAGACATGGAACAAGTCAAGGACTTAATTCATGAAATAGCTGTCACAATACATTCTTTTAATGACACGAAACTAAGTACAATGGAGAAATACGTATTCTTAAAGAACATCATTTGCATCATGAGCCTCGAGCAGATTAGTGAATTAGAAGAACGCTCATTATATAATCACAAAATTCAGGATAAAGTTTACAGGAATATTGTCTGGAGCATCATCCGGGATGCTGTTGTACAAACCGGAACAAGACCCTCTTTGTTGACTATAAGAAATTGGTTAAGGACTAAGAAAGTTGAAGGCCTAGAGGCAGCAAGAATTATACTTCAAATTCCCAAGTATGTTCAGGAACCAACAAAAGAATATATCAGAACACTCTATGTAAGTATTCATTTACACATAATAACATGTTATATAAAAATAATCAATTATTTTTTTAATTCTTCGGAGTCCATCGAAATGCTTATTACATCAACAATAAAAAATGATAAGCATATACACAAAAAAAATCATTCTATTGCTAAAAAAAATGATTACTCAATTTACTTTTTTTCTTTTAAGTAACGGTTATATTTAACAAAGAATATTTTCTTAATAAGAATCTTAAAATATGCTTATATTATAAATTTTAGAAAAAATCAATTTTAATCTACTTAACACAGGAATTTATTTTCTTTTGAAAAATAAAAAATTTATTGAAGAAGCGACTTTATATAATAAGCAAATCGAGTTTGTTTAATTTAATAATCTTGATTGAAGTGTTAAATTATTAGGTTTCAAAACATGTTTTTAACAAATTTGACGCTTGTGATAAATTTATGATGGATTTACGAGTAATAAATTTTTTAAGTATATTTGAAACAAGTAATTATTATTTGCATTCACAATAAAAAATGTTTTGTATTTGTATTAGAAATAATCCACTTAAGTCCTTGCTAAAATTTTGTATTGAATTTTTAATATATTCAAGTGTCAATTTAATATAATGTGATTGTCTTATTTGAATATTTTGTAAACTGATATTTAATAATTCTTAGTGTGAAAATAACAATTCATGAATAAGTGAACAAAAACGTAAAAATAATATTTTAAAAAATTTAAATTCTAAGATAAATGAATAAAATGTGTTAATTTAACATATTATAAATGTTAAATTTATTGAAATATATGGATTTAACATATTATAAATATTAATTTTAATGAAGAAGAGTAATTGTTTACAAATCGTATCAGAATTACGTTTTTTATGTTGATGTTTTACGTAATATTTGTCTTAATTTTTAACATATTCATCTTGTGTTAAATTAACATAAAAATTTGAATGGACCGTTTAGGACATGTAAAATGTATCAAATTTAGCACAAATTTTCCAATTGTGTACAGTATATATACGTACAACATACATACGTACGTACATATGTGTGTATTTCTTTGTGTGTAAAAATAAAAATTAATTTTAATTAATTTTTTATCTGATTTTTGTGCAGGAAATGATAACTGATCCATCAGTATTGCACCAGACAGCCGTAAATGTGACCGCACCATTAGCATTTGCTGAAATACTCCGTAAAAATCGTGTCAATACTTACTATCAGTCACACAGTTTGAGACGTTTGAGGAAGACTTTCATGGATGACAACGAGATAATCGGCACTTATATACCTCATTTGGTTGAACAACTGAAACAAGGCTTGCTCGAAGATGACAGTCCAAAAATTCAAACATATATCATGGCACTTGGTATGACCGGCAATCCGTCGATTATCTCGATCTTTGAGCCGTACATAGAAGGCACGGAGACGGTGTCGAAGTTTCAACGTTTGCTCATGGTATCTTCCCTGTCCACCTTAAGCAGACACCAACCGAAATTAGTTGGACCAATTTTATATAAGCTCTACTCGAACGTACACGAAGATCATAAAATACGTTGTATGGCCATATATCGGTATATCATGAGCAACCCACCTTTGATTATGTTGCAACGCATAGCGAAATTTACTAATGACGATTTGAACGATAACGTAAACTCTGCTGTAAAAAGTACAATAAGGAGTCTCGCTAATACGAAGCGACCAGAATTGCAAGATCTCGCTATTAAGGCGCGCAGTGTCAGACATCTATTGAATGCGAAAGAGTATCCTACATGGAATTCGAAAGGCTACAACACGGACTGGGATCTTTGGGGTATTAGGGGAGTTAGTTTGCAAACCATTGGTGACGATTTTATAATGCCCGCATTTTTGCACGTTGCTGTGAATACTGTTTTAGATTTCTATGAATTACCTACCGTGGAAACAGAATATGCGGTATCGAATATCAAGCAGCTTATGAAATACTGGGATTGGAACACTAAAACCTATAGGGAGAACGAAGAAACAAGTCAAGAATTATTGAAAAAATCACGCATTGAGGAGATTATGCAAATGCTTCAACTCAAGTCCAGCCATCTGGATAGGTTGGAAGGACATGTCTTTATCAGCACAATGTACGGTCTTCTATTCTATCCCTTTGACAGTGGAACTCTTCAAAAGCTTTCCTCTCGTAAGTATCCTGAATTTTATACTACAAAATTATATTACTTTTAAAGACATAAACTATTATTATACATTACAGACTTGAGGGATTCCCTCATGAAGAACCATCAATTGGATTCACTTCTCTTCAATAATCACGAAACGATATTAAGCTTCCCAATTGAAAGTGGCCTACCGTTCCTTTATACTTTGGAATCGCCAATGATTTTAAAACTTAAAGCTGAAATAAGAAATGACGAACCTTTGATTATAAAAAGAACTGGTATTTTGGATATATATGTTGCCAATAAGGTTCAGAAGCAGTTTGGTTTTGTAGCACCTTTCGAGAATCAAAGTTACATTGCTGGTGTTCATGTCAATCGAATGTTGCGATTACCATTAGAATATGAAGTCAAATTCGATTCAATCAAACGAAAGCTTGATATTGGTGGATTAAAGATTCACCTACAAACTGGAACTTCGCCAATTACTGTATTGCATCTCAGCACTGTTCCCTTCACCACGCGACGAGACCTTCTTGATCTTCAACCTCTATCTCTTAGTAGAAACACGCATCTTGTACTAACAGAAAAAAAACATAAAACCATATTAGAGAAAGATTTAATTTCTATCCGAGTAGAAACTGATAGCAAAGAAGAAGAAGGACATCTAGAAGATAATGATATTTTACAGCTCTTGTTACAATTACAAGCGATGCCTGACGGTCATTATAAAAGATTGGATTTGTTAATGAATCCTGAACAATTAACAAAGAGTGTATTACACATGAATGTTATTCATGAGAAATTGACAGTTGACAATAAACGACAATTACTTGAACCAGAGTCACAAATTATGTTTTCTTTAAAACATGTGAAGCCAAACAGTGAAAAGAGACGAAAAGAGATTATGACAGGCCTCAGCGAAAGCTTCAAGTCGGGTGATGTCCATATATTGGATGTAAATCTCGATTTACCAGCATTAGAAAGGCAACAAGTTCTCACCGTTGGTTGGGTGGACAGCAACGTAGATAAGAAGTCTAAGCTTTATTTATATTGGAATTCTCAAATGTCGATGAAGGAAAAACCAACACTTGAAGTTTGCTATACGCATGAAATACAAAATTCACTAGATACTCCTCTAAATTTCAAACATATGATGAAAAACGCACCAGAAGATAAGACCAGAGCTGAACTGCAATATGGAGAGAGTTGCAGCAGAGGAAACAAAATTGTCGTCAACTCGAGCCTGTCGCGAAGTGGCCGAGTAAAGGATTTGTTAGAGAACTCCAAAGTAGTCAAACAATGTTTGGAAGAAATTGAGAAGGGATACAATGCACTGCGGGCTTGCCAGCAGGCCACTGAACTTGCCCGAGTGAAGAATCAGTTGGATGTTTCAGTTAGAGGTTTAGTAATTGACTATATTCAAGAAATTATTTCCAAGATTTCCGACTTTTTGTCGCATCTCTTCCCTCTCTCACATATGAAAGTAACAAGCTGGAAAGACTCTGATAGAAACGCCTTCGATATAAAAATGACTTCGACACCCATGGATATAATTCTGCCGGTTGCCTACCTAGATTCCTCGCAAATGGATATTACTTTCCCTAACGTGGGACAAACAAATTCCGAAATGCAAGAGCTATTAAAAGAAAATACCATGTTCCGAAAAGAAACAAAAAGAGGTAAGTCATAAAATTTTATAAAAGATACTACTATTCTTTAAATATTGAAAGTTAAAATAATTTAATATATTGAGTCATGTAATGTATTGTTAATTGAGAAACAAGTTAATGCTTGAATAATAACGCAGAGAAATTAATAATTTGGTACTCTCTATTAACTTTGTAACTTTTCTCAACTATTCCGAGAGCGCGTTTTCATTTATTCTAAACAAATAAATTACTCATTGTTCTATTATTGTTATCATGGCGCATTTATATTTTATTTGGTAAAGATCTTTTGCAAAATGTAATGTAGATATATAAATTACATAATGTATATAATATTGGAATTTTTTTTTCACAGCTTCGTGTACTATTGATAAAAACATGGTTCTTACTTTTGATAAGCTGCTTTATCCTGTGACAATGGGAACTTGTAAACACGTTCTAATGACCACTTATCCACAAAGGGATCCTGATACTCGAAGAAATATAACACATACAAAAGTACTTGCTTTAATTGATGAGGATACCATTGGTACCAAGACCATCTTTCTATTGGTGAACGATCACGATGTGCGATTGAAGAAAGTAGGCGATGATCTTAAAGTTGAAGTCGACGAAATTCCCATCCAATTATCGCGGTCTAAAAGTTATGAACTACGTGACGAAGGTAATGAAATAATTTTCGAAATCGATGAGCTACCCGACGGTTCGGTCGAAGTGATGTCGGGCAAATCTGATGTCAAAATAGTGTTCGACGGAGAACGTGTTCAAATATTGGTGAGTAAAAATGTGAAACAAACTGGTAATAATAAGTCGATCGCAGAAATATAGAAAGCATAACAACAATCAAAATAAATTTGTTATCAGGTAACCGATAAATATCGCAATGCTCTACGCGGTCTCTGTGGCAACTACGACTCCGATCCCAACACCGATTTCCTCACTCCTCAGAACTGTCTCATTAAGATGCCCGAAGTATTTACCGCTACATACGCCTTGACTGAGAAGGGTTGCCATCAGAAAGACATTCTGGAGAACAAGCAAAAAGCCAAACTAACCCAGTGCCAAGAGTTGCCAAAATTTTATCGGAACAACGTTATTAACGATATAGAAGCGGGAAGATTGCCGACACATGGTGAACTTTGGGGCTATCATAACAATAATCTTATGAAAAAATATAACTTCAATCGCGATAGTAAAAAATACGATCTCGAGAGAAAGGATTTATCAGACGATAGCAACCTTACCTATCGTACAAAAGTTATTCTAGAGGACGAAGAGATCTGTTTCACGACCAAACCTATACCAGTGTGTCGTGAGAGTACCAGGTCTTTAGAAAGAAAGATGAAGAAGTATGACCTCTATTGCCAACCAAGAAACGAGGAATCTCTATTAATGAAACGCAGGATCGAGCAAGGCGCTAATCCAGATTTTACCCGCAAGCCTTTCAGTAGGTTGCATACTTTCCATGTTCCTGTCCTTTGCACCGCATAATCTGGCAATACTGAAGTGATATATCGACCATGCATACTTAAAACGACTTCTTTTTTATTTTTTCTTTTTTTTAGAAAGCAGTAAATATACACTGTTAAATCTACAGTGTCAAATTTAACCTAATGTGATGACTCGCATTAGGTTAAATTTGACACTATAGATTTAGCAGTGTGTTGTTTATAATAATGCAGTAATGTAAGCAATAATAAAGTTGAAGCGTTTCAACATAACATTATTCGTGGTATATTCGTTTCTGCATACCCAAGCTGTTCGAAATCAACACAATTCATTTAACGTCAGCATTAATTAATTATTATCATTACATGTCTTTTATACAATAATTGTTCTCTTAGAACAATAACGGTTAAAGCTTTATTTCTTTCTAGCAGAACACCGTGTTTATAAAAAAATGAGCTGTTAAATTTTTGTATAAATTTTTTATAATTTTTAATAGCAGTAACTCAATAAAAAATCATCGTATTGCAGTGAATGAAAACTCAAATTAAAGCTTGAACATTCCCGTTAATAACCAAGAAGATTAAAAGAGAGTTATAGAAAATACTTTACAAAATGGCGAATATAATAATATAATAGTTTAAAGAAAAAAATTTGTTTCCCTATTTTTTAAGGTCAGTCTTCAACAACCTCCATGTTTCGTAAAACATTTTCTGTAATTCAATTTGGGTTTTCTGATTTATTAAATGGAATGTTCAAGCTTTAACTTGAGGTTTGGTTTATTCCAATAAAATAATTTTTCGTTAAATTATAATTATTAAAAAATATTAAAAATTTGTGCTGAAATTTAGAGATCCGTTTTTTGCAGGTGAGTGTAGACAAGAGATTAAGATGACAATGAGATAAAGTCTGCGTTCCGTTGCGAGCATAATGCCCATGAAGTATCATTTTATCCTTGTTATTCAGAGTGTTAAACAAGAATAAAATAAGACATCATGCGCATTAGAATGCGTGCAGCGGAAGACAGCCACTGTCTGTGTGACAAACGAGTTTTGATTATCGTCTTTCCCTTTTATCCTAATTGTTTATCTCAATCAAGACGTTTCGCATTCTAACTTTATGTCAAAGAGTTCCCGAGTGTTCTAGAAAACCTACAGTACAAAACCTCATCCTCCCGCGGCTCCAGAGTCAGTCGCTAATAGTATGTAGTATCATAGTCCCGTATCGCAGCAATCGCAGTTATAAAGTTGCTTGCTTCGCGCGGTGTGCGGTCTACATGCGAGTTTGCAGTGCATTCGCGTTTATAAGTATCAGACTAGAAATTAAAGTTGAGATTAAATTTACTCGATCAAAGCAAAGTTCGCTAAACTGATATTGGCTTTCTTTTTCTTCTGATTAATTAAATTCAGTCTCAATTTCAATTTCAATCTCTTATCTAATACCGGAATAAAAGAAGCTGTGCATGTAATGTAAATATTCATATATTTTCTATAGACTTTGTGTAACAAAAACTACAATTTATCGTGATTTGATGAGTTCGTTGCCATCTCGAAGACTGATTCGCTCTTCTCGCTATATTTTCAACGCTCTGAGAACGCAAACGCTATACGCACTGAATTAAACAGATTACAAACGGAAATTCTATATATAGTATAGATGGAATATATTGCTACGGACGTATGAGTCAATGATAAAGAGGAAAATGGTTCTCCTTAACAAATAAATGAGTTTGCATTTACATGAAAGGAATGACTTTGTTGAAGTATTTAAAAATTTAGGTACCTACTGATCCGACAATAACTTTGTTTGATCATCAAAATAATTACATAGGAATCTCAAGTATGATGAGCAATGCTGAAAAATGTTTTGACATTCTAGCCATTAGTTTGAACGTCTTACATAATTATTTTGATGATCCAACGAAATTATTTTCAGATATGTGTGTATATCTAGTTAAATTTTTTAATATTTTAGTAAAACCGTCCTTTCTGTGTAGATTTTTTTGCTATGTCGTAATAGAAGATTTGAAGAAATAAATGACAATGATAAGAATAATAGTTACATGTTAATTTTATATAATTCCACTGCAGATATTTACTATACCGCGTCCACAAAGAGAACAACCACGATCCACACATTTTATGATCAGATTAGAGAACTCGAGTGCGTTATATATTTACTTCCGCATGCATTATTGTTATACCCTTGGGTAGCCCAATACGATAATAATACATGTGGAATTAAGTAACGCGTTCGAATCCTCCAATCTGATCATAAAATGTGTGGATCGTGGTTCTCTCCGTGAATTGTATAAAATATCTATATTTTTATTAACAAGCTCTTCTTTTTAATAATGAATAATTTTCTTTCATTCTCTCTCTTTAAAAAGTTGACACACAGAGAAACAAAGTTTTGTTTTTATAATAATAGATTGTGCTTTATTAGAAGAATATGGTTAGTTAATGTAAAATAGTTTGGTAATTAACACAATGTAAAATAGCAATGGTCATTACGTAAATATTCTTTAAAAAGACAGAAACATTCAACACTTACTAAAGATTATCAATGACCTGTTATAAATCTACGCACAACCTTACTTGCTGTTTATCGATTAAATAACGGGAATATGATGCATATTGTGAAAATACATTCTGTGAAAAATAACAAATGTTATGTAAATGTTATGATTATGAGAAATGTATATAAGAGATCAATAAAACATATAAAAAATCGCTCAAACTTTCAAATTAAGTGTAATTTGCAATACAGACTAGTTTCTTCTTAGTTTTTCGTAAAAAGTAGTGTAAAGAATTATACAAATTTTAATACTTTCTAATATTGTCAACATGTAGCATTCCATTAATTCCTTTGTCAGGTATCTGATTTATTTTTATCATAAAGTATCTAATAGGGACAGTAATTTAATAATAAATATAGACATTTGTTGAATAATCGGTAAAATGAATCATGTTTTTGGGTGAAGTCATTGTTCTGTTTCGAAGTATAATATATGTGACGATCTTGTCTTCAATTTTCCAAGTATGTCACAATTATGGCGAATTACTCTCAATCACACTTGATTATACTATCAGGATGTACCAAGTGCAATTCTAGTATGTACAAGGTTAAAATAATTTATCACGTGCGTCGGAACAATATAGTTTTAAGTTCAAGTTGAAATCTAAATCAATGAGCATCGTTCCGTGCGAGTCAAGCTGACATGGCATATGGAACGTATATAAATCCGATTGAGAGAAGAGGGAGCTTTCATTTTGCAATTGACACTATTTCGCATCATATCATGTTGCTGTATCTGGCTTTTCTCTTAATCAGTAAGTAGATGTCAACGTTACAAATAATATTAATTTCTACGAAAATTGTACGATGACGTCATTTTTCATCTTTTATTGTGAAATTTGAAATTATATATTATTTCTCTTTTTAATACTGTGATTTGTCCAAAACTGTGGAAGTTTAACGTCTCTTTAATAATCCCATAAATAAGAGGCAATGGGATCGAGTTGATGCAAAAATCAATGCGCAAATTCAATAAAATAATCATTTATACTTAATGACATGAATATTAAGTCGTAATAATTTATTTAACATCAAACATACGTTTCAGCTCTGTATTTGAACCATCATCAACGAAATTTAACAATCAATACCGTAATTAGGTATACAGATTCGCATCTTTTTGTGATGTTAATTTATCACGACGACATGAATTAACATCATAGAAAGATGCGAACTTGTGTAATCGCGATATTGATTGTTAAATTTTATTGATAATGACTTAAATATAGAACTGAAATGTGTGTGTACGTTTCAATGTTAAATAAATTATTGCGACTTAATATTCATGTCGTTAAATAAATAATTATTTTATTGAATTTGCGCATTGATTTCTGCGCCGAGTCCTATTGTCCCATTACTTGTTTATTAATGTTATTAAATTGACGGGAGTCCATTTATCATTGCTAATTTGAAAATTAATAATATATTAATTTATACAAAATTTAATAACTTATAGATAATTTGTACATTAAGGTAAAAACAGATAATGTATAAAAATACAAATTTTTATAAAAATATCGAGATTATGTAGTAATTAATTAATTGAAAGTAATAAAATTAAGAATTTAATAATTTTTTAATTAATTAATTTTCAACAAGTTAACTTTTAATTTTAACTAGTTATTTTATAAGTTTAATTTCATAAGCCATTAAATTTAAATTAATTTAAAAGAAAATTAAAAGAAAAAGTTTACTTATTTAATCTTTGAGAAAGATACTATTAAGAAAATAAGCAGTACACACAGTAAAATATTCTGTAGATTTACTTTTTTACATGAGTTATACATATTTTATTTGTTAAAACATTTGAAAAAGTAATAACGCTTTCTTTCAATAGTTGGAGCGGCCATAGCCGATCACAATCATGCATGGGAAACTGGAAACGAATATCATTATCTTATAAAAAGTCGGACATTGACGGGCTTAGATGGGCTAGCTGAGCAATATTCCGGAATTTTTATGAGAGGTAAACTCACCATTCAAGTGAAATCATCGGATACGTTGCAGGCTGTGGTTTCCGAGACGCAGCATGCTTCTGTGAACGAAATATTGTCGGGTATTTCGGATGAAATCACCAACCTTGAGTTTCACAAGCTTTCTTTATCGGAAAAGCCCTTCGAGCTCAAGCTTAAACGGGGAGTGATCCGAGATATATTAGTTGATCAGGATGTGCCTACTTGGGAGGTGAATTTGCTAAAAAGTATTGTGAGTCAGCTGCAGATTGACACAGAGGGTGAGAATGCAATAGCAAGTAGGAGCACTATGACGCCCAACGACAATCGGTCCTTCAGTACATTTAAAGTCATGGAGGACTCCGTTGGCGGCAAATGCGAGGTCCTTTACAGTATTTCGTCAGTGGAGGGAGATAATTTGTCAATCTCTTTGCCACATCTCCATAAAGATGGTCAACATTTTGTTGTTGCGAAAACGAAAAATTACTCCAGATGCGAACAGCGAATGGCTTATCATTCTGGTATCGTCAGTAAAATGAATTGGAAACCAGGATCTAATGATGGATTTCTTTCGGTGAGTTAGATTTTGATAGATGACAGCTGTCAAACAACATTTAAACGGATAGAAGTTTATATGAATGAGGACTGTATCAAGAAAAAGATTTAGCGAAACTCTCTCGCTTTAAATGTTTCTACACTTCTATACGTATGATAATTCAATAAATAAAAATGCACACATTGAGAGAGTAAAATTTATTTTTGCGATTGTATATTTGTTACAGAGATCATCTTCGAATCATATTATCATCTCCGGTAATCTGAAACGTTTTACTATTCAATCTTCCATGATGACAAGCCAGATTTTAATCAACTCTCATTACAAAATTGATAAATCTAAATTTCACAATACATACTCTGGCGCTGTTTACAGTAGTATGAATCTAACTTTGGGCAGAATGAATCAGATCTCCAACTCTATGCCTGTGTCCAACAATCTCATATCAACCGGAAATTTAGTGTACACTTACAACAATCCGTTCTCTAGCCAACGCAAACTACGTCGTCCGAGTGTCAGTCAAAGTTCCTTGGCGGCTTCATCGTCCGAGAACCATAATTCTAACAATTCTAGCGAAGAAAACCATAGCGACGATGACAACTTCAAGAGCGAGGAACGCGATTACTTTCAACCTAAACCGAAATTGGATGAAGCTCCGGAGAGTCCTTTATTACCCTACTTCATTGGATACGAAGGCATGAGCATTTTAAAATCCGAAGAGAATTATACTTGTGAAGATATGCACTTCCATAATTGTACTCGGTTAGGTTTATTAGCTAACAGACTAATCCGTCGAATATCGAGCAGAATACGTGACGTTGATCGAATCACATCTTTTTCCCCGGCGCAAATAAACGACCGATATCTCCATACTTTAGAACTATTTACAATTTTGGTTAGATTGATTCGCATCATGAATGTTGAACAGATCGCTGAGGTAGATAAGATACTGTTTGACGTGTATAAGCGTATAAACACGATGAGTGAAAAAGATTTTGTATTATTAAACCAAAGCGCATGGAATATCTTTTCATGCGCCGTTGCAAACGCCGGAACCGGACCCGCTCTCATCACCATAAAAACCTGGATAAAGATTGGGAAACTCAAGGGCATAGAAGCGGCGAAAATTATTTCGAAAATTCCTAAATCCGCGCTCGCACCTACAACAGAATATGTCGCAGCGTTTTTCGTAAGTATTCATTATACCTATATATTAATATTATATAATATAATACAGGGTAATCCCGGTATTTACGCTGCGTATGACGATTTGCGTCGTAGAAGTTAGAAAAATATAGAAGGAGAATAATTTGCACGCAACCGTTCTGTTGCAATATGGCTTTGTGTTATACGTATTTGCATTGTGATTTCAGTTTTTATTAATACTACTGAAACCATAGTGAGTAAAATATTTTTTATGTGTGATGATCTTAAGTTTTGGAGATACATACCGGAGTTATTCTATATCAAAACAAGAAATTAAAAAAACTTTAATCTTTAAAATCGCTCATTGTTCACACAAATATTTATACTAACTATTACGAATTACACGTAAAAATTAATTTTAATGATTGATTTCTATATAGGAACTGATTACCGACGAAAAGGTGACAAAACAGAGATTTTTGAATACAACTGCACCTTTGTCATTTGCCGAATTGGTCCGTTACACTCAAAGCAACAAATTATCTATTTACTATCCGGTCTACAGTTTCGGCCGTATGGTCTTTAAACATGACAATGAACTTCTTGAAACTTATATTCAGTATATGGCTACCGAATTAAGAAAAGCTATTGAGGAAGGCGACAGTTGTCGAATTCAAACATACATTATGACACTGGGTAATTTCGGTCACGCGAAAATACTTTCCGTTTTTGAGCCATACCTGGAAGGCACAATTCCGATATCGAAATTCCAACGTTTGATGATGGTCACCTCATTAAGCAAACTAAGCGAAAGCTATCCGAGAGTTGTCAGATCCGTCGCCTATAAGATTTACTTGAATTTAAAAGAGGCCTACGAATTACGTTGTGCAGCTGTTCACATCATAATGAAAACCAATCCACCCCTGATCATGTTGCAGCGAATGGCGGAATTTACTAATCAGGATCAGGATCGACACGTAAATTCTGTCGTCAAGACCAGTATAGAGTCCCTCGTTAATTTAGAACAATCAGAATGGAAAGATCTCGCAGACAAGGCGCGTATCGCTAGCAAGCTATTGAATCCTAACATTAGCGACGATACTTACTCTCGGAGCATTTTTACGCACAAGAAAATCGCCTCCTTAAACATTGTCCAAACAATCATTTTGCAGACAATTGGTAGCGACGACATTGATACAGCTAAAGATGCATATATTGATGTACTCCAATCTTACGGTGGATTAAATCTACCCCTGTCAAAACTGTCATATAGTGTATCAAGTATCGAAGAGTTGAAACAGATGTGGTTAGATATATGGCTAGGTGGACGGCCCTGGATGCCTCAAAATAAAACCGAGAAGGAATGGATGATTGAAACCATGATTGAAAAGCTTGGTATTGAGCCCGAAAATGCAGAACAACTCGAAGGAAATTTCTTTATGGACTCTGCATTTTCTTTAGAATTCTATCCCTTTGATAATCATACGCTTGAAGAATTTACTAATAGTAAGTATTCTGAAATTTATTTCAAAAACTGTTGATTTTAATAATGTGAATCGTTATTATTTTTGTATTACAGTGTTGAAAATGTATTATAAGTCGATATTGCAGACAGGATCATATGTTTCTAAATACAAAATGGTAAATGATCTAAACCATTACGACATAACGTTAGGATTCCCGACTGAAACAGGTTTGCCGTTCATCTATACCTTAAAAGTACCGAAAATAACTAGCGTTAACACGGAAGGATCTATTAAAGTTACAGAATCACAAGCTAATAGCTCTGTAGAAGTGGCAGCAGAAGGTTATATAGTATCAAATGAAAAGATCCAAAGTAGAATTGGTTTTGTAACACCTTTCGAGCACAGACACTACATTGCTGGTGTTGATATCAATACGCATTTCGCCATACCAGCTAGTTTAAATGTTAAAACGAGAGATAACCATTTATTTGAGCTAAAAATAAGCCCTCAAATTGAAAGCGGAGATTCAGTCTGGCGTATAGCGATTCACCACAGTGTCGTTCCTTATACTTCAAGACACGACATTCTGAACTTTGAACCTTTAGAGGTCGACAATGACACACGTCTAGTGCACACGAAGGAACCGAATGAAATTCAGTTTTCGCTAGGTAACCTGACACTCTCCGCAAGAAGTGATGTTATTGATAGCGATATGTCACAGAAGAGGGGACTTGAAGGCCTTGTTAAGCTTTCTACTATATTTTGTTCAAATCTTGGTGCCCATTATAGGAGATTCGACGCAATCTTATATCCCATAGAAGCACAAGTAAACCTAACTTATCGTCATGTCCAGATGCCCACCGATAGAAGTTCAAACGCATCAATTCCTACAACAGTTGACAAACGGCCAAAACTGCCAATTTTGTCGATAATTCTGTCAATGTATTTGACATAAGCGTTTTAGCTAACAATAATTATTATGTTTTCACCTTCGCTTTGGCAAACAACCACGATGAGTTACAAATCCTTTCCTATGAGAATATCCAATCGCTAGATGGAGAAGTTTCCTTCGAGTCTTGTAGTGTTAATAGCATTGTTGGATTATCACAATACAATTATCTAAATGTTGAGAAAGCAATCGAAAAGATTCCGAATTATGAATTTAACACTGAGATGCGAATTGGAAGTTGTGCAAATGGAGAGACGATTAGACTCAAAGGAAATTTGAGTCGCACTGATGATGTCATAAAGAAGGCAATGAAATCCGAGATAGTTGAGGAGTGTCGACAACAGATGAAACAAGGCAATATTTGGCTACCAACTTGTCAAAAGGCTAACGAATTAATCCAACAGAGAGATCTTCTGATGATGTCAATGGAAACGAATTCGTATAATTTCTATTTTCTTGCCAACAAAATGATCTTGATGATCAAGATGATGATTTCCGATAAAAATATGAATATGTCAAACTTGGAAAGTGTTAATAAGAACATGGATGTAGAAATAAAAATGCTTGATAATAATGATGCGAACATTTCTTTGCGTACTTCGCAAGTGGATGTTTCGTTCTCTTTGTCGAACTTTATTAGAGATCCCAATATTATATTTCCCAATTTTACACTAAACAAGCTTTTCGACGAAAACTTAGAAGAAGGTAAGTTATAAAATTTCGTAAAAATAGTGTTTTATAAAGAACTTACTGGAAAAAGATTCGTTATAAATGCACTCAAAAGTAAGTATTATATGAGATCGATACAGATAACCAAGTAGTCATTATAAAAAAGATCTCGAAAATCTTATAAAAATCCATTCAAAAATTATTTATAAAAACTGGATATTGGTTACACTGACCAAGTGGCACATAGCGCTTACAAAGCGTTAACAAAGCGCCAAAAAAGCGCATATAATTGCTTATTTGCAGCGCTACTGTGCTACTTGGGGAGCAACAAAATTTAACGTTTTTCTGTATCGTGAATAGGTATTTCCGATATATTTTTGCTTGCTGCATATGAATTCATTACTTAAATTTGATTATTAGTTCGCATTTTTTTTAAAATGACGTCAAAGGTGCAAAGCACTAAGATTTTAAGGGTTTCCATGACGTTATACCGGCAACAAATTTTATTTATAACATGTAAAAATATCAACTTTCAGCTTTAAAATGCATTTTGATTTGTTTCAATATCATTTTTCATTTTCGAAATAGATTAATTTGAAAATAGCTCTTTTTCCATACATAATACATACATTATTACATGAAAATCATATTTTCTTTATGTCTTTTTTTTCTTTATATCTTTATGTACTTGGCGTCACGTCGCTTTATTAAATATGAAAACTTTTTGCAGATATGTGCGTTCTCGACAAAACCCAAGTTGTAACTTTTGACGATAAGGTCTATCCCTTAACTTTAGGAAAATGTTGGCACGTAATGATGGCGCCTTATCCAAAACGGGATTCCAATAATCCCGAAAAAATATTAAGTTTGCCGAATGATATGAGGGCAATTATCATGGCCCGAGAAATGGACGACGGCAGCAAACAGGTATGGATAATCTTGGGTCATGAAGAAATTCATCTGCGAAAATTGGACGATCATCTCGAAATTTCCAACGATGGTGGTGAGAATTATGATTCTTATTTATCGAGTTACCGACAATCTTTCTACGAAATTTATCAAGAGGATGGAATAATCATAATACATTCGTTGAAATATGATATCTACATCGTGTACGATGGAGAACGTATCCTACTTTATGTAAGTAAGAAAATAAAGCAAGTTGTATATAAAATCGACTAAGGTATCTGAGCCGAATAAGGTCCAGGCACTAAATAAGGCCCACTTTTAAATTTATTACTTTAAAACTCGATTTACGCCTGCACTATATGCTTAAAAGATGTGTCATAGGAAGTAGATAAAAAAGGATTAAAGAATTGGAATCGATAGCAACACGTTTGTTAAACACAACAAAAACTTGTGTGTATGAGACTAATATGAGACATTTTTATAACAATCCGCTGCAAAATTTACCAGTATATCATGTTTCATAATTTATTATAATTCATTATAATATTATTCAACTTCCTAACTATGGAAAATAACTAATGAATAATTTTTTTGAAATAAGTATAAGTATTTTTTTTTAAACATGTACTTATTAAATAAGGCCTACTTATGTGATTTTTATTATAGTTTATTATTTGTTTGTTATGTGTGAAGTTTACGTCAGAGAATAACGATTTTCAATGCTACTATCTTTAAGAAGCCAAAATTGCATTCAAATTGCTAAAAATTTTCAAAGATTGAAGAGTTAATTACAAACAAAATTAAAAATAATTGTAATATTTGAGAATAGAGTAAGTCCTAAGGAATTTCCTTTCCATGATTAATAATCATTTTAAAACTGATTTAGAAAGAAAATGTTTACTTTCTTTGTTATTTTTAATTTATTTTTGATTTGGGCTTTATTATATTCATATGCACACAAACACAAACACAACAACACAACACACACACACACACACACACGCGCGCGCGCGCGTAATAAGGCCCAATGTCAGAGTTTAATAAAATCTTTTTTTCGTTCATTTACATATATATTCTATATAAATAATATATTTTATTTTTAGAAGTGAAATGAAGATTTCACTTAGTTTATTTCAATATCCCCATAAAGAGAATTTAAAAAAAATAAAATTAATTAGGTGGTTTTATTCGGCTCAGGTACCTTACATAAGCTAAACTGCTTATGTAACTACATAAAATATAATCAAAAGATGCGTTAAAAATTTAAATGTAATGAAACACACATCTGTTGTTAGGTAAACGATAAATATTTCTATACTGTACGCGGTCTCTGCGGTAATTACGACATGCAATCCAACAACGATTTCGTCACCCCTAAGAATTGCATCCTGTCGAAGCCCGAAGAATTTGCTGCTACCTATGCCCTGACTTATCGAGAGGACTGCGAAGGACCCGCTTTGCAGAATAAACTGAAAGCCGAACAATCCACATGCATTTCGAGATCGTATATTCCGGGTGACGTCATCAGTGAAAAAGAAACGGGAAGATTTCGCAGGAACAGAAGATGGGGCTATCATTAAAATAATCGATACTTTCAAAAAAAGCACAGTAATAATTGGAGTTTTTTTAATCACAGCTTACAAGAGTAGTAAGCCTGCGGAATAGAAAGAGAAAAGTTAAAAATATCTGGCATAATAAAAACGTTTTTATTCAATTCAAGCACAGAATCAAGTAAAGATTTGAACCGAAGAAACGGTTTCCAAGTCGGACACTTTCAATATTCTTATACGTATTACTAGCTTCTTTATTGAGTAAGTACAAAAGTTCGTGTCAAGTTTAAAAAAAATTTTTTATGTTAATTTTTATGTAGGATGCAATATTTTAATTAAATTGACAATTATATACTATTCGATAGAGCAAAGTTTCAAATTTAAGAATCTGTTTTTTGAATTGCAATGATGACGGTTGATGGCGGTTATGAGCAATCAAAGTCAAAATGTTCTTTTTATTTAATTCATAATAACTCAGTAATAAAAAATCATAGGATTTTTAAATTTAAATTTTATTTATTTTTAACAAAATTACATTCGTTTAAATTTTGAATAATAAATCAGGCACGAAGTTTTGCACTCACCCAATATTTTATATTCACCTATTTTTTATAAATAATATGTGCTATTTTGTTAATTGTAATCACATATAATAAATAATGATCAATTTATATTTTTAATAACTTATATTTTAGTGATTTCTTTTCTTTTTACAGGGATATGGCTAGATATAATCGAATGGATTAAAAATTAAAGAATAAAAGTATATTTATATTGAAATTTCACTTAAAATCAAAATTAGATTTTGCACAATAACTATTTTTATTTATATAAAATTTTAAGGAATAAGGTTGTGAATTGGACAGTTTAAACGAAGCTGATTTAATTGGCAGTCCATTTTGTTAATAGCTTCATATAATTTATTTGTTTGTATATATGTAAAGTTTTGATGTAAGCACTTTCCGAAACATTTATTCTTTTGTTGATGGCCTGATTTATTCTTTATCATAGTTCCTCTTTCCTTTTTGAAACACTGATCTACGAAAGATACAAAAAAAGACATATTTAATAAAATTGTGAAACGATAGGATATGCATTTTTGTTTTTGTAAGATTGTGAGATTATTTTACTATAAAAATTATGTGTGTATATATATATATATAATTAATTTAATATTAATTAACTTTATTTTTGAAAATGTGCACGTTCCCAGAACTCAAACTTCTCTCAAATTCGCGAATTTCTTTCTCACATTTCTTAAAATAAGTACCCCGAAAGATTGAGGAAGGTTTACGATCGATTTGACAATCTCTGCAAGCAGTTTTTGCTTTCGCAATATATTGATTGTATTCAAGACACTTTAACATTTCTTCGATGTATATAAAACGAGTTTTATCAATTCTTGTAATAACACCAGGACGGCACTTTGTTCTCAGCAAGTGATGCAGCTTTACAGGGACATAATGCATAAGAGCAATGTTTAAATATTAAATTATATAATAAATAGCAAGGTGTATATGTGTAAATTGCAAAGCTCTAATATTACTTAGTTTTATTATTTTACCTTAAACAAAATAAATAAAATCCAGAGCATTGCTTCTTGTTCAGTCAAATTTTCCACACGCTCGAGCTCTCGTTGTCTAAATCTGCAAAATAAAGTATATTGCTAAAATTACGTACAACAAGACGTGCGAGAACATACCTTTTCATGTTTTCTAAAGTTTCATTGTTCTTTATATAAACATTTTTCAACCATCGTTGTAACTTTAAAAAGTTTATCTTTGTTTTTCTAGACCAATAGCCTCTCCAAACAGCTTGGATTCTCGTTGCCATGTTATTGTAATGATCTTGCCACATCTGGTGAACACGTTCGACTAAATACTGATTAATGATGAACATCCTGGTATGATAACCGCGCCAATGACGTTGCAGAATTGTTGCCTTTTCGTGAAGTTTACGAAGATGATTGCGGGTAATGATACCACGGAACCAAGCCTAAACGTCAGAAGCTTCAGATATATACAGGGCGTAACTGAAATAACGCCCACTAATCATACAGTATTCCTAATAAAAAACTAAGTCGACTAAGTCCTCTGCCATTTTGCAATTAATTTTCGCAATAATTAACGAGATATTAACTTCTAAATATTGCCGAATAAACGGATAAAATCAATATATAAGACAATTTTGAGATATTTTTTCGTGTTTTTTGTGAAATATTTTGAAGATTTTTCTTAAAGAAAACTCTTAAAGGTATCTTAAAATTGTCTTATACGTCGATTTTAGACATTTTGCTCATTAGGTAACTAAAAAAAATTGTAAAATGGTAGAGGACTTTCGTCTCAGTTTTTTATTAGGAATATCATTATCTGATTAGTGCGCGTTTCAGTTACACCCTGTATATATTAATTAATATATATCCCCCGTTAATATAGTCGGATTTTAACTAACCTGAATCTTACGAGCCGCAATAAAATGCATAAGTTTTGATGATTCGGCTAAATCGTGTTTAATTTTAATAGCATTCCGCAATTCAACAGGATCAATCGCGAATCTTAACTGCGACGCCATTTTTTTAACATGTCGAATTACTCAGAAATAGCTATTTGATAAATATTAAAGATCAGATATCATAATTTCTTATTCGTACACTCTTAAAAAGGACATCAGAAGTCGATCGTATCTAATCGTAGCTTTTTTTTTTTAATGCTAATTGATGATCTCAATGCACGTTGTGTATGAACAGCTTATTGTGTATTTTGACAGTTCGTATATTAGATCGATTGACAACGCATAAATTTTTTAATAAATAGGTATTAACAGGCATTTTAATAAGTATTAAATAAATCCGATGAAAAATTAATTGAACAAGAACGCTATTAACAAAGTGATCAATATATATTTTCAAATACTGGCAGTATTGTAGATATCTACCTATAATTTCAACTTGCATATTTAGTTTGTAATGCGAAATAATAACCGTCATACAAGACAAAGTATATTTATTGTTAAAATGCAAAAAGTGTATGAATACAAAACTATAAAGAGTAGGTCAAGCTGGACGAGTAGCGCTAATTATATAATTTAAAGTTTTCTAGTTTTCTAGTTATTTCGAATAGTCATTAATGTACTATGTGTATAAGAATTACAGTAAACTTCAAAACAATATATAAAAACTGTAAGAAGTACAACTAACACGAGCATGAAGGCTGACGTTACGATTGCTATCTTCAAGCTGCTGTTTTTCTTTTGTCGAGTCCTTGACACTACGTGGAAGTCTCGCGACTGTAATAAAAATATTCATAAATATTATATATTGCAGTGGATAAGCGATTGCTGTAAATTTAGCGAGGTCAATTGTGCGACCCTGCATTTAAGATAAATTTTTCGCTTTTGTAATTATAATTAAAGCTGCCAAAAACTGCGTTACACGGTTACAATTATTTGGTGCGACAATATTTCTCATTATAGAGACCAAACATATAAATGGTTGGAGTTATATCAGTGATCAGATTCAATTTACGTAAATTATTAATACGAATCGGTAACTTTTAATTAACTCGTGTATTAATGGGAAATATTGCGATTGTTACGATTTATATTCTTGACTGGTATTTCATATTTTACGTTTGTGAACTCCTCTCCCTGTCAAAAGCCAACATATGATAGAAAAAGGAAACGAGAAAGAGAAAGGAAAATATGTCGAAATTTTCTCACCGAAATTTCGAGATTCTGCGTCTTTCGAATGAGTTCGTCCAATCTTTCGCCTCTATCAATCAACTTTTGGACTCCATTCATCAAAATGCGACGTACTTCAATCAATTCTTCCTCTAACTTTGAAGTCAGATTCTTACAGCCGATACCTTGATTATACTCTTCCTGAAGTAATATCAATTTCGTTCTTTATATGTATCGACATTTTTACAATCTATCTGCATAAATTTATGTGTGATATTATCATTTATTTTTAGAGCGTGGCTGTTATGGAACATAAAATTATTAACATATTTTGTGCTATAGTTTCATTATTGTCAATTATTAAAGTTAGCCAAAAAGTTTGAATATATTACAAATAACTTATAAACTGTTCTTTCTATTTTAAAAAAAATTAAAATATTTTCGTATTTAAAAATTCCATATTTTCTTCCCTACTATATAAAATTGTTTTATCACTTACAATTATTTTCTTTAACGCTTTTGAGAAATCATCTTCCGCGAGATTGGTTAAATTTTTTGATAAATCTACTAACGGTAAGTCTTTATAAACCGTCCGTAGTCTCTGCAAAAATATCTGAGAGCACGATTCTACCCATATCGCTGATGAGGGACAGTTCACTTTCAATGTCAAACAAACATAGTAAAGTTCCCCGATCAGCACATGTACCGTATATCTATGGAAGAATTGTATTTTATTTTTCTCATTACAACGCAGATCAAAGAACAACAAATAATAATGAATAACAAGTATGCTTGGAGATTAAATACAAAATAATAAACATGAAAGCCAAGATGGATCTAGGTGCTTGATAATGTTTATATGACGGTTGCCAGTAATACGAATAACAGAAGTTTCAACTTTAATTAAGATCAGTCTTGATAACGTTATAATGTATAATTAGAAAATATATAATCTCTAACGCCAAAATGCAACCGATAAATTAATAAAAGGAATTAACTGAAAAGAATAACAGCAATGAGGCATGTTAATTTTATCGTAGATTAATTAATCCTTTGCGATCTATTATACTTGATTTCAACGTACGTCATTATAACAAAAATTGATAACATATGTCTCATAATATATCTTAAAATTTTAACGCGCTTTTTTAAGTGAAAAACAAGTTTAACACTCGAAATCTGCAGCTTTGCCGCTGGAAATGCATAGATTTGATTATACTGTTGCTTTTTCATTACGTGTCATTCTTAAAATAAATTTAGCTTATTCTTTGTGATGATACGCATGGATTTAAAAAAATCTTACCTACTGTTATCGATACTGATTTTGTCGTCCTCGACAGTTTTCAGGCTATCGATAGTACTGAGAGCGATAGTACGATAGATCGGGTTTGGATTCGTGGAATAATCCGCAATGATCTTGCAACCGGATGTCTCACGCAAAGCCACCATAGCGTAGTGCACAGTTCCATTCATTTTAACCACAAATGAAGAAGACACTTGTTGAATGAATGGTGAGTGGATACTACTGTGTTGTCTGTCAAACCGTACAGCGTTCACAGATGCCAGAAGAAGCAAACACCAACGTTGCCGGTTGTTTATCCCAATTCCGATAGCCCAGTGAATAACGAAAGAAGTTTCGATAAAGCCGATAACAACACATACGTGCCATATATTTCGCATACTACGCGAACGTTGGATTACCATGTGAATGTTGCAAGAGATGAACTGCATACACTAATCGATCTTCGCATTTACCGAATTGCTGCATGTTTGTTCATATTAAATAAAATTTAATTGATAATTGATTATACAGGATGTCCCAAAATTCGCAGCTCGAAATACTATATATTGACTAAATACTGAGAATCTCATTTCGTTGAATCAACTAATCTCTTGTTTAGATATGAGCTAATCAATCCTCGATGCAATAAAATACTTTATTTGAAGCAAAAATTTTGATTGTAATAACATTTTATTTGTTTCCGATAATACAAATAAAATGTTTATATAATAATCAAATTTGAAGGATTTGTTTGTCCATATCTAAATGAGAGATTCAATCAAATGGGATTCTCAGTGTAGCAAGAAAGTTTTGGAAAAAATTAAATAAAAAAGTTATTGTATTTATAAATTTTAAGTAGTAGTTTCTAAAATATAAGGATTTAAATATTGCTAATTACAGACTACGACAGTGTCGTTAATTTAAAAACCTAGCGGAATTCACCTGTGTATTTTTGAAATACTATTTCTTACTAAAAGAATACGCGATTAAACAAACGTCAGGCTGCAGGAATCGTTTCGCGCTGCTGTTATTTGCAAATTCTCTCAATCTGTTCCTAACACAAGCGAGACAGCGCTTATAAACGACGCCACAAACCGCATGCGGAATTATCGCGCGTTGTTCCCTTGAGACGCGACAAAGGCTATTGACTTGACGTCGAGCGGAGAGAAAATAAAATTCAGAACATCGTCAACCTGTTACCGAACGATTTGCCGTTGACGTTCCAACCGCGCTTACGATACATGCCGTCAATCAAAAGTCGTACATTTACGTTCAGATGTTCTCGTGTGAGTGAAAACGTCGAAGGGGAGAAGATAAAAAATCGGGAATATTATATTTGAAATCGTTAATTAAAATCAAGTATAAAAGCTACAATGCTGTATTAAGGAAAGGATATTGGATACTTTGGGTTGCTTCGCATCGAAAAAGAAATTAGTTGAATTAATTTGAAATATCTATTATAACAGTTTTTTTATTACAGTTTTTAAGTTGGGGAATTTTGGGGGGATTATTAATATTTTCAGATTTGATTGCGTTGAAAGTCCGACAACCATATCGGCACGCAATTATCATTTCTGAAATTAATTCATTTAAATGAATTTACAATAGTTCAACATCTTAAAGTTCTGACCGTTATGGCGCTTCTTAATTTAAAGTATTATGTTTAACATTAGCGGTCTTTCAATCTTATTATCTATTATAACAATTTGACTATTTGATAAAATGTGAATAGTCAAAAATTTTTATTAAGATAACCAAACAAATTTGATTGCATATCTTATGATAATCATTGCTGTAATATTTGGTTGAATAATGAATTCTGGTGCAAATAATAAAACTTTTGGTTGAAATATAATAGCAGCTTCTTGTTAATACATTTTGTTAATATATAGTATATGGTAGCTAATTTCAGTCGCGTAATGTATGTGGATACCTAAAACGTTAACAACATAACAAATTTTTAATACAACTAAGCGTTATATCTAAATACATTGTAAATATTTATAAAATTGAAAATAAAAAAATTTTAGCAAAATTGTCACCGTAGTTGTTAATTTCTTTTTTCTAAAGAAATTTTTTTATCTTATTTGAAGAACTTTGATTTCTTGATTGTTACTTAATACGAACTTTGATGAAAAAACAGTAAACGACTTTAGCATCGATCTGATACAGCACTGATGCAAATAACGAGCGGCTGATGTACAAATGTTTTATCGCAAAATTCAAATATATAATAGTAAGCGATAACGGAAGGGTAGCTTTACCAGCTGTCGTTTATGTGGAATAACTACCAACGTCTGGATAGAGCATTCTTTACGATCTCTAATCATTGGTCTGTTCTATCGACATGCATAAATATGCAAGGTCGAGTGCAAGGTGAGATATTGCTTACATTGTGATTGCAAAACTGACGGAGCTTCTCATCGTAAAAATTCAAATAAAAATGATATATCAGATAAATATATGTTTAATTATGTAATAGGTTTTATTTCACAAAAAAAGAATAGATAGCGTGTCTAGCAGAGAGTACAACGGAGACAGATCATGATTCTTATCTTGTGCTTTAAAAAAAAACTTCCATTTTTGTTCCACTTAACATCCGACACATCCGCATTCTATCTATTTTGTTTACATTTACTTATATGATAAATAGTATTGAATAAGCAGTTTTTTGTTTAATACATAGAAAGAAAAATTATATTCTGGATAACAAATATTAACAGTGAAGAAAAAAAAAATTTTTTTTGGAGTAAGTTATTTTGTTAATTAAATTTATCATTGATAAATTTATAATTAATTGACATTTGATCGAAATCACTCTCAGAGGGTCTTGCCGCTAGTTTATTGTTTCATCTAGTTTCTAACATATAAATTATTATAACATAATCGTTTGTTTTTATTGTAAAGCAAATTATTTTTCATTATTATATTAATATTTAATTATTATATTTGCAATTGGAAGATGGAATGACTGATAGAGTTTATTTATATAAAGATTATAAACATTAATACCTACTTTACGATCTAAACTATTTTCTATTATAAATGCGGAAATCAAATATGTTTTCATTCTAATGGCAAACATAAAAGGAACTTTTATTATTTGAAGAAACTTTGGGGAACTCAAAAGTACAGTTTTGTTAATTATAGTCATGCATTAATTTGAATGTTTATTATAGAACTGTGTAAAAATTTCATATTGTATAAATTAACATTGGATCAGGTGTAGTTTAACGTAAAACTGCAAAGTATTAATGTATCGTGTTACGGAAATGAGAAAATAGAGTTGTATAAAAATAGGTTTAGAATTAAGAATTAGCTGTAAGAGAGGAAGAAAAAAATGCAAATCATTGCAACTTTTATGGTTCTTGCATATAGAATGCGGCAACGTGTTGCACGTGGCGCAGTAACCGATCGTATTATGTACTTCGTTACATATTTATTAATTTCCGAGAAAAAAAACGGAAGGCAGTTATGAGTTACACGCATCTTTCTTCTTATAATCTACCACATGTATGCGGGATTTATAAACAGATACAAATATTGCACTTAATCATTTATTATGTTAAAAATAAGCAAAATAAATATACTCTCCGAGAAAGTTTCTGTTTCCTTTTATCTCTCAAAACCTGAAACGATTCAACATTTATCTTACATTTCGAACACGAGAAGTGTGCAACATTAATTATATCCATTTCTACCAATGTACAGATTTACTTTAATCTTGATTTAATTTACTCTGGTCCATTTCTACCAATATAGATTAACTTTAATCTCGGGTTAATTTATTTTTTATCTTTTCTTACAACTAGAAGAAGATTAAAAGCAAGTTGAATCGGGATTAAAGTCAAAATACATTGGTAGAAATTGGAAAGAGACATCCGTGTTTTTCTAATTCTTAAAACTAGGAAAAAGATAAACTGAGGTTGAAGCTAATCCGCAATGATAAAAACGGGCATTAGGCAAATAAGTAAATCTGCAGTGTCGCGGAGGAAAAAGCGGAAAGTATCGATGAGAGAACTCGCGGAGCAAGGTGCGCGGTCGGTCAGTGGCGCCTCGCAATTTCATCGTAGCCGGCACGGACGGTGGACGCGCGGGTGGCGGCCGCACGAGGAGCCGTCAGTGTGCGCGCCGCGGAGAAGCAGAGAGACAGACATCTTGTAGATAAAATTTAGCGGCGTGGTGCCTCGACCGCGAGTGTCGGTGTTCGCGGTTACGTGTCGCGGTGCTTCGTGTCGTTACGGTGTCCCGGTCCACGTCGCCGTCATCGTCGTCGTCATCGTTGTCGTCGTCGTCGCTGCCTCCGCGACCACCACCACCATCACCACCGCCGTCGTAGTCGTCGTCGTCGTCGTCGTCGCCGTCACCTTCGTCGTTGTACTACTCCACGTCGTCCTCACCGCCGCCTCCACCACCACCGTCACCATCGCCGCTATCTCGGGATCATCATCGTCCCTCGTTCTCCAACTACTGCCCATAATCGTGGTGTAGTGCCGCGCTCGCGGGAAGGAGCCCGCTCCGCTCCGACTCGTGGCCAACTTCATTCCTGTCAACCGCAGAACCGAGTTGTCGCCATCGCCATCTAAAATCGACCATCGTCGTCGTGCGGCTCGCGCGTGGTGCCGTGGTCCAGCGATCCCGAAGCGAGCCCGCGAGCTCGCTAGGAGAGCCCGACGGGGATCACCCCCTCCCCCCTCCTCTCTCTCCTATCTCTCCGCTCCCCGCCGCTCGTCGATACTCGCGTGCACCCGCGAGTGCACGGTCGCGCCTACCCTCTCCCCCCTTCCCCCCGGGGTGCGAGAAGGGGACCGCCCTGAGAAGGAGGACCGAGGGAGTAGAGAGATCTCGTCCGAGAGAAAGAGAGAGAGAGAGAGTGAGTAGCGCCGTCTCTCCCCCTTTCTCCCCCCTTTTCCCCCCCTCGTTCGCGTCGGTGGCTCCGTGAAGAACGCCCGTGAACAGTTCCTAGGCACCGATGTGCCGCGCCGTGCGATAACTTCCGTCACCTCTCCGCCACCCTCCCTCCCTCTCCCCCCGTCCGACGACCGACCGACCGACCGATCCCCCCGCGTCCGTTCTCTCCCTCCTGGCGGCGTATTTCCGTGCGCGCGTGTGTTACATGTGTGTGTGTGACGGCCGCGCCGGGCTCTCGAGGTGAAAATACCGCCCTCCTACCCAACCCCTCCGTATAATACGGTGAAGGTAGCCGCTATCTCGCGCGAGTAACACAGCACGCGTGACAAGAGGGAGGAAGAGGAGGAGGTGGACGACGACGAGGAGGTGAAGGTGGAGGAGGACAAGAAGCAGAAGAAGAGGAGGAGGAGGAGGAGGAGGGCGAGCAACGGTGCGAGAAAGAGGTGGAAGAAAGCGGAAAAGAAAATACGGCGCGGACGGAGCGCGGGTGCGAGCGAGAAGGACAGCGCGAGAGGCGAGCCTGCTGCTGAGCGAGAGTGAAAGAGAGAGAGAGAGGCGCCCACTCGTCATTTATCCTAATACAGCATGACCTCCAACAATTCGCAGAAACTCCCCACGACGGATCGAGTGATCAAAAGTAAGCCAACAAGCGATAAAAGTTAACATCGCGCGAGCGACGCGACGGAACGCATGCTCTTTCAATAATGCGAGTGTGCGAATCACCCGTGTATGTATGTACGTACTGTTGTCGTACTATATGCATTAATGCAATGCGTACAGCATGCACGGGCCCCGTTTTTTCCGGCTATCTCAGTCGGTAACGTCGCTCGCGCTCCAATTCTTATTTTTTTTTTAAACGTTTCTTCTCGATTGCGTACAGATTTTGTGAAACTGGCGTTCGTACAGTCTTGGCGACAATTTGCTCGCTCATAATTTTAGACTTCAGTATCGCGAAGACGCGAAGAAAGATTCTCGCGCTTCTTCGCAAAGTAAAGGGGGGGGAAGGAAATTATTTCGCCGACTTCTAGCGTCGCGAAGTTGCTCGCGAAGCTCATTCGCTCCGATCCGCTCGCAAGAATAGCCGCGTCAAAACACGCCGCGTGTCGTGCACGCGATTGATTTTCTGCTTGCTTGCCTGATCGGCGGCGCCATTTCTATCGACTTGGTCCGGCGATGGTCTCGCGAGAGCGGCGCGGAAACCACCGGTGCGGTTACTCCGCGCGCGAGAATTCTTCATCACGACGAGGGAGAGAGAGAGAGAGAGAGACAAAGAAAGAAAGAAAGAAGGAGAAAGAGAGAGAGAGAGAGATCGACTCGCATTCGCGGTCGGAGCTCCGCGAGACTTTCGTCTCGGTCCAGCGGCACTGGCTAACCTAACCTCCTAACCTCGCACGACGGCCAACCCCCGCCATCTTCCCCGGAGGTTTCGCCACCCTCCTCCCCCCAGAGGTCGCGCCGCTCGGTCAGCCTCGTTTCCGCGGGGTCGAGGAACGCGATACATCTTGAGAGCGTGCGGCCGCCGCCGCGTTTCTTTGCCTTCTCCGTCCCTGCTCTCGAACAGCTGATGCGTTACGTAGGCACGCATGCACGCACGCACGCATGCACAGCAGACACGTATGTGTGTGTGTGTATATATATATATATATACATACGCGGGAGACGTATGTGCGTGCGTGCATGCGTGCATGCGTGCGTGTACGACCGACCGCGCGTTAAAGCGCGCCGTGACGCGAAGACGCCGGGCGTCCGGCGTTAAAGAGGCGATACCAAGGCATTTCTAGAAGACTCCAAAAAGTCAAGTGTCTGCTTATAGACGTATACTTGTTGCTCGTCGCATATTCGGCGGCCGCGTTTTCCGAAGTATCGAGAGCGAGCATAAAGCTTGAGACACGATTGAAATGGGTTTTCTATAATAAGTCGTATCCAAACTTTAAATCGTAAGTTATAGGAAATTTACCGATCACAATCGAATGTGAGAAGAGTAATCGACTATGGGCGGTATTCATAGTCCATTCTTATTTCAAGACCGTCTTAAGTAATATCTTAAGACGCTAATACGGCCCTCTGATTGGTTCGTGGCTTCTTAAGACTGTACTTAAGACGGTCTTGAATATAAGACCTGACTATGAGTATTACCCTATGATTAGTCAATTTCTTATGGTTTAAGACTTAAAGGTCGAGTAGGTGATGGTTTATTGTAGAAGGTCTAAAAGATACAGACAATAAGAGCAAGTATTAACCGATAAATATAATTTTATTTGCTAAATCAGAATACACGGTTTCTGATGGATCGAAAATTCCGTTTCAATTTCCTATGCTTTTTAATTGCGTATTAAACCTAAAATTTCAGACACAATTGAAAATCTCATACTGCCTCTTGTGAGGTACGAAATGCAAACTTTATCGATGATTTTAAGAGATTTTATATTTACTTGTTTAATTTACACTTTTAAATTATCTTCTTCATATGTTTGTGTCTCTGCTCCATATTCAAGCAATACAGTATGCGCCAAAAATTCTATAATTCTATAATGGTATTTTTCTTTATTTTACGTTTTATGGCTTTCGACACTTGTAATGTTCCTATCCTTGAGGGGAAGTTATCCCAGGATGCAAAATGATGATTCATCTGTTTATTCTTTCATTCAACGTGAAAAGAAAAAGAGAAACAATGAACTGTGTACAAAATTCAGCTAAAAAAACAGGCCTAAAGCGAAGAGCACAGACTCTTGCATAAAGCATAACATATAAAGCATAAGAAATTCAACCAATCAGAATTCTTTATTTCATGGAAAGGAAGGAAACCAAGAACTTTGATTGGTACCTTTTTTATTATGCGTTACGTGTTATGTGTTATGCAAGAATCTACACTCCCCGTCTTGTGTTTCAAGTTTGACGAAATTTGGCGCTATGATGGCCGCGTTCAGCAGAATATTTATTTTATAATTATTGGAAGTTTTCTTGGCTGAGATAGGATTATTTCTGTAGAATTAAAAATATAATTCAATCAGCGCGACGAAAACTTCTAATATTTGCAAAATAAACATTCTGAACGTGACCGATATCGGTGGGATGAGGAAAGAAGAAAAGGGTGAAAAGGTCGGGGCATCATGGTGTGTGTCACCAAGAACAAGCGCCAAAAACGAGACCGGTTTAGGACGCACAGGTGGCAACCTCGGGTCGTTGATCCTTCGCCGAGTGGCGCTCCTGTATTTTCGCCGCTTCGGTCCTTTCCTCCTCTCTTTTACGATTTTTCCTCGCTTTTTAATCTCCTCTCTCTTCCTTTACGATCTAATCAAGCGGACGCCTCGTGTCTGCGACGTCGCACTTCCGGCTTCCTATGATGTCAACGTGACGCTCCGATTCTCGAATGGATGAATGTGGGTCACGAAATTGACGAAACGGAAGTGCGCGCGCGCGACAGCTAAATATTTTAACATCACCGGGAAGTAATCTTTTTATTTTTTTTTCATTTCCTTTCGACGCGAGACTCAAGCTGCGCGCGATATAAATAATTATCTAATCACCCGTCCGACTTGACACTTTCAAACAGAGAAGCGAGGTAATATCAGCAATATTTATGCGACTCCGTTTCTACGTCGTGCGTTTTACTTGCAACGTCACCTTGTTTCCGCCTTGAGTTTGTTTTAAAACGTCGATTTAACTGGAATCGTAAAATTTAGTAGCATGTCTCTGATGCCCGAGTGACAGATAATCCGTATTCCAATAATGCTGATTATATAGATTGAAAGACATATGTGTATCAAAATATGTAGTATTAGGAGAAAAGTATTTGGTATTTGTGATTATAATTACGTGATAAAATAATTATAGTTAGAACCTCCATCTTTATAATTATTACTGCTGTAATAGTAATAATAGTTATAACAATAATAATATTAGCATTAATAATTATATTTATAGTTCTATATGCAAGGAAAATATATATAGTTGGCACCGAAAATGACTGTATATATTATAGTCGCTATACATATTTTTTGATACATCTCTATAAAACAATATTCCTAGAATGTTAGATGAATAAAAGGCAAATAATATTCATACGACATTCTATTGTGTCCTTATAGGAACAGAATTATAAATATAATTATTATTACTAACATTATAGCATTAATACATATAAAAATGAAACTCCTAACCATAATTATTTCACTATGCAATTATAATCACAAATACCATAATATATAATATATATTATAATTTATAATCATTTTCGGTGTCAACCATATGTTTTTTATATATAAAACTGTAAATATAGTTATTATTACTAACATTACAGCTATAATAACTATAAAAATAGGACTCTTAGTCATAACATACACATTAGAGAGCGCCAATAATCGGTCAAAGTTAGATATTACGAATATATATCCCTAATTTTAAAATTTTAATTATCTCAGATGTGACTATGCGCCGAAACATTCGGATTAACCACAATCTATCTGAGACGCTAATAATATAAATATAATGAGGAGCCGAAACATTCGGACATTCCTATATATGAGAAATCCCCCCTAAATTAATTCGGTAAAGAATCTCTTAGTCATAATTATTTTACCATGTAATTATAATCGCAAATACCATGAGATTCATAGTATTTTTGTTACCAATTATATATTTATTTAGTATATAAAAATATAAATATAATTATTATAACAGTAATTACCATAAAAATGCTCTTAACCATAATTATTTTACCATACGATTATGTCACAAATACAAACATTTTTCTCAGTGCGAGAAGTTCGATCTCGTACACTTTACAGAGTCAAATGGCAGACCGATTGATCGTTATCTCTTCTAGAACAAGCAGTCGGGGATCGGTTATGGCGTTCGCTAAGGAAATCGCGCTTACTTTTCCTCCGAGATATCGGGGAAAGGTTGAGAAACGCTGAGCGATATGTATATTAGAGAGAAGGTCGTTTTAATTCGTGCCATTTAATGCGAGTACGCGAGAATCTCGAAATCATTTTAACGCGCGCTCATCGTAATTGGCTTACAAGGGGTGTGTAACTCTGTCGTCGCGCATACAACATGCTCTTTGTACGGGAATACTCGCGGCTGCGTAAATAATGTTTCACGGCCATAACTCATTGTCGTGACGTGAAAATGTCGTAATCCCTGGCGCGTCTCCAAGAGCGCTGCAGTTCTTCGGCGATCTTTAATCGTCAACTTTTTCACGCCCCGTTCTTCGTTCTTACCGCGTTTACCCTTCCGACACGAGACGTTTATTCGCGTGTCGTGCTTTTTCTCTTCTCTCGCCTAATCATGGAGGTCATCCATAATCGCAAATCGCAATACCTCGGACGCAAACGCATTAACGTAATCTTTCGCGGTAAACGCAATGCTTGTCTCGCAGAAACGTTTCGCGCAAGCACGCTTCTAATCGTCCTACTCGAACGTGCTAAATCGTAAGGAACGATCTTCGAGCATGGCTTATCTCAACTTTCCTTTAAGACGTGAATAAACGTAGTATCTCCCGCCGATTGCTGCTTCGCTCGGTTATCCTTCCGCGTTAACTTCGGAAAAGTCGCCTGAACGAGCGAACTCTGCCGCCTTCTCGTCGTAATTTATTCTGCGAACGTATACTCGTAATTTCGAATGTTTCGCCGCCGA